CCTCCAACGGTCTGAGGGACAGTGAACTGGCCCCCTGTTTTAAAAGTTTGAGGACTTCTGGTTTAAATAATTCTCTATTCCCCCTTTCTACTCTGTTATAAGGAACTTTCCAGTGTGGACTAGTAACCTTTATAGTAGGAGAGTTTGTAACCTTTAGAGTATAAAATGGGTCATACAGGAAAGGTTCGCCCATGCATCTTCATTACCAGCATAGCCCAGGAATAAGAGACACAGGAATTATCCCAAGGATCACAGAAACAGCTTCTTCACTCTTCACTACCACTCTCGCCCTGCCTCTCATTACCCACAGCCATCAAGATAATGCCATAATTATCAGGATGCCAGAGTGAAATCCAGACACTTTCCATTAGTTGTAACCAAAGAGTTTTCTGGAACAGGTAAGGGACTAGAGTGTCGGATGATTGCAGGTGTGTGCCCTACCTGATATACCTATAAATAGTTCTGCAAACTAGTTTCTCTAAACCAAGAGTGGTGGGTGAAAAAAACGATTAACACATGAGTCTGGGAAATTTGAATATCAACTTAATTTATCTTATGCGGAAATTAAACTTAAATCAAAATTTTCAGCATGTTACTGGTCTCTTTATCAATTAAAAACAAGAGCCTAGTAGGACTTTTTCTGTCACAAATAAAAGTAATGATCTGCTTTCAGTATTAAAAATATTGCCAAACTTTCAGGTGCTATCCAGAAATAAACAGTAACCAGAACTGGGATCATAAATCAGAATTTGGTTTACATCAAGCTTTACCAAAACCATAACTGGAAGAATATCTCATACGTTTTTAACTTTTGCTCACAAATAACGTGTTTTTTGTAATACTTCAGATAAAATCACCCAAACATGGAAACATAACCCTGGTACAAACCTAGTGAGTTAAATACTTTTTAAATCTACGTTATGGCTGGGCTCAGTGGCTCAGCCTGTCATCCCAGCACTTTGGGAGGCTGAGGCAAGTAGACTGCCTGAGCCCACAGGTTCAAGAGCCAGCACCTTGGCAAGACCTTGTCTCTACAATATATCAAAAATTAGCTGGGCATGGTAGCACACACCTGTCGTTCTGGCTACTTGCAAGGTTGCAATGGAAGGATCGCCAGAGCCCAGTGTGTCGACGCTGGGGTGGCCATGACGGTGCCACTGCACTCCAGCCTGGGCAGCTGAGTGAGACTCCGATTCAAAAAAATAACAACGATAAATTAAATAAATCTAAGTTACTATAGACAGAATCCTGCTATGTAGAAAATACCATATTTCAAAAATCCCAGTAGAAGGAGTTGCAATTTAAAAAAAAATAGACAGAGAGGAATAGGTCTTACCAATGGTTTCCAACATTTTTTTCAAAGTTCAGTGTTCTTCGGTACAATGATTAATAATGGCCACTAAAATGGAACTCTGGGGAGAAAAGAAACAAAATGGAATGGTTATGTTTTATCAAAACTTTATCATTATGTTCTAAAACTGAATACTCTAAAAAGTAGATGGTACAACTGTAATTTTAAACTCCTGTTGATTTAACTTGGTAGTTCTCTTTACAAGCAAAAAAATAATCATTTTAGGACTTGCTTACAATTATCTTATAAGTAATTGCCCATAACACTTATATAATAAGGTATAAGGTTTAAATTTTCTTCTAAATAAGATAGCAGGAGGTTCTTGAAACAGATCATTATAATCTTAGATTTGCTTACAGCGCCTTCCCCACAGAATAAGGAGTTTACTTAACTCTGCATGAGAAAGTCTGTGGGCAAGGGGGTAAAAAGTAGATGTGACCCTGTCCTTGAAGGTTCAGTTTTAACTGGGGAGACAATGCACGGATGCCAGTTAGAAATTGTGACACTCAAGCAGCACTTGAACCACTGGAAACTAATACATTAAATCATGAACAAGAAACTGAACAAAAGATCATAGTGTTAAATTTTTCAAAAGTTTCCAAAATATTCCCCTGACCATCATGTTCTCTTTCCCATTCAAACAAATCTTCTCAACTTCTTCAATCCACACATCTCGTGTTTCTGATAGTTCTTTTTTTTTTTTTTTTTTTTGAGTCAGAATCTCACTCTGTCACCCAGGCTGGAGTGCAGTGGTATGCGCACAGGCACTGCAGCCTCGACCTGCTGGGTTCAAGTGATCCTTCCACCTCAGTGGAACTACAGGCACGTACTATCACACACAGCTCATTTTTCTTGATTTATCATAGAGACGAGGTCTCACCAAGTTGCCCAGGCTGATCTCGAACTGATAGTTCTTAACTAGACTCTCTGTAGTACTGGATACAGATTTGAACTGCCAACGTCCATGTCACTAACCCATCTTCAAATTCTGCTGTCCATGAATGCAGCACAACTGTCTAGAATAGAATTCCATGTATTCTTTGCCTCACAAAATCCTGAGGAGGTAAGCCAGTCAGTCATCCCTTCAACAGAGAAAAAGAGTCTACCCCCTACATTCTCATTCTTCATCTGGAAGAAGAAACGGGAATTTCTCTAAGAAAAAAGCCAAGTCACCCCCTGTTACCTCTTTAAGACAAAATACATTTGGCAAAAAAAAAAAGAAAGCATGTGATACAGATGAACAGATGTATAGAACAGCAATGCCTGCAATTAGCTCTGTGTAATGACAGAGAACAGTACTTATTAACTTTTCTTTTCCCAATTTAGAATAGACTATTTGAAACATCCACGTCATTTCTAATGTCAAATAGCTCAACTACTGGCATTTGTTTTAGACAGTGTCCTCGTATCAAGAAAAGAGGGCAGCCGGGCTCAGTGGCTCAGCCTGTAATCCTGCACCTTTGGGAGGCTGAGGTGAGTGGATTGCCTAAGCCCACAGGTTCGAGACCCACCTGGGCAATAAGACCTCATATCTACAATAAATCAAAAAATCAGCCGGGCGTGGTAGCGCGTGCCTGTAATTCCGGCTACTCGGAAGGCTGAGGCAGAAGGATCGCCCGAGCCCAGCAGGCGAGGCTGCAGTGGCCGGGAGCGGCCACTGCACTCCAGTCTGGGTGACCGAGTGAGACTCCAACTCAAAAAAAAAAAAAAAGAAAAGAGGGCACAGGCTCTGACCTGGAATTGAAACCTAAGTAGCAGTATGGCCTCAAGCAAGAGGCCTCTCATCTCAACCTCCTCCGTTTCCTAAAAGACAATCTTATTCATTGGCTATATCATGATAAATGAGGGCAACGAAGCATACCAATCTGCAGCTCACAACTATGGAATACGTATTGATGATTAATGCTGAGTAGTTCACATAGGTAAGTATTCCAAGGTCAGGCATCACATGGTTTTAAGAGGCCTAATACTGGACAATCTTAAAAGGTAAACTGGTGATATCTTGTATTCTTACTGACAAGGAGAATATAATACACCTTCATGAAAACATCTTATTATTAGATTCCCCCTTCAAAAAATTTAACATCTAGCAATTGAAAAATAAAATTAAAGATTCCTCACTATAAGAAAGCCCAGATCTACAAAGGTATATTTAATTGAATAGCCCAGGAGGAAGCATGACAGCAATGAAGAAGCAGACTAGAGCAGGGGTTCCCAACCCCTCGGCCACAGACTGGTACCTCTTAGAAACAGGACTGCACATCAGGAGGTGAGCAGCAAACCAGTGAGCAAAGCTTGACCTGTATTTATAGCCACTTCCCAGAGCTTGCACTACTGCCTGAGCTCCGTCTTCTGTCAGATCAGTGGTGGCATTAGATTCTCATAGCAGCGCAAACCCTATTATGAATTGCTCGTGCACAGGATCTAGGCTGTACACTCCTTATGAGCATGGAATGCCTGATGATCTGAGGTGGAGCTGAGGCAGTGATGCTAGCACTGGAGAGCGGCTGCAAATACAGATGAACATGAGCAGTGAAGTTGGACTGCACAGAGCCTATCATAAGTCCACTGCTTGTAGACTCATATCAGAACCCTCTCCATGAGTGGCAGGTGAGTCGTGCTCCAATTGCACAGCTGCATTTGGGGGCAGGCTTTAAGTCAGAATTCGACACTTATTTCAGTCTGCATGTGGTCTGTCCATTATTTTATTTACAACTTCCATCCACACCTTTTATATGGTGAGTTGTGTAATTATTTCATTATATATTACAATGTAATAACAACAGATATAAAGTACACAATAAATGCACTCCCAGTAGGCAGAAAAATTGTCTTCAACAAAACTGGTCCCTGATGTGAAAAAGGTGGAAACCACTGGACTAGAGAGTCTTCTTATCTGAATTTAAATTTCAATTGGCCACTTAATAACTATATGCCCTTGATAACTGAGCCTGGCTCTCTGTTTACAAGTGAATGATGTTTATAAAGTCTTGAAAGAATAAAATTGTATGTATGAGGGTTTGGTATGCACCAAAAATTTTCATCTCTTTCCTCTATGAAAAGGTAATTCACAAAGATAGGCAGTATTCATGATGTGAGAGGGAGGTAACCTACAAATTACAAGGTCACTCATGGCTGGGTGTGGTGGCTCAAGTCTGTAATCCCAGCACTTTGGGAGGCCGAGGCAAGAGGATTGCCTGAGACCAGGCTGGGCAACTTGGTAAGACCCTGTCTCTACAATAAATCAAAAAATTTTCGGGCATGGTAGCCTGTAGTTCCAGCTACTTGGAAGACTGAAGCAGAAGGATCTCCTGAGCCCAGCAGGTCAAGGCTGCAGTGGCTGTGAGCGTGCCACTGCACTCCAGCCTGGGTGACAGAGTGAGACTCTGACTAAAAAAAAACAAGGAAGGTTACTGATTTATAAGGAGTCTGCACAGAAAGTACAAAGTAGCCAGTTCCCAACTGAGAAACACATTGTTGTCCAAACGCTCATCTACAGGTCAGTTATGTTAAAATAGAATTATTTTTTCTTCCCCTAAGAAATTCTTACAAAGTTGTCACGGTTTTTTTTAAGCCAATTCAGCTCCAAGTCACTCATAGTAGTTCCCAGATGAGAGAACTCTACTCCCCTGGTCTTCAGTGATAAAAACATTCCATTTCCAGAGTTTCCTTATCTGGTATGAAATCCCTAAAATAAACGCATAGCTTTTGGAGGCTTTCAGAAAACTTCACCATTAGCAACAAAAAACATGTCCCTTTCTATGCCTCACACTCCTATCCCAAGGATTCAGTCCTAATTATAAACCAACTCATTTGCAATCACAGGATTCTTGAGATGGAAAGAGAATCCACTTACTTCAAACGGCAGCCATGATTTCTTTTCACCCTTTTACCACCCCACTGTCACCCTTCCCTTTTGCTCTCTCAACACTACGTGGAAACACAAGGGTACTCGGCAGTAACAGTGGGTCATGGCCAACGGGTATGACTTAAAGAAGACCCCACAACATGTCAGAAGAATACAATCTTCTGGGCAACTCATGCTAAGCAGTGGCAAAAGTAAATAAGAGGGGTAGTAGAGAGAAAAGATGAGCTGTGGATGTGACAACAAGGAGGTCAACACTAATGCTGGAGTAGAAGCAGCAGTAGCAACAGCAAACACACATTTCCTAACACATGCTGGGCATTTGAAAAATTTATCTTTCTCCAATTAAGAAAGATCCTCACAGAATCCACTCACTTTACAAATGAAAAAAACTGAGGCACAGAAAGGTTAAATAACCTAACGTCTCACCACTCATAAGTAATAGAGCCAGGATTTGAATATAGACTGTCTAGCTCCAGAGTCTACAATTTAATTTCTAGAATATGCTGCCTCTCAATAAAAGATTCACCTTCCCTGTTTCCAAGTTCAAAACTGTTACATGGAACATGCCCTACACAAGGTGAACCAGAGGAAGAAACAAAGACCCAAAGTGAATGAAGTCTGAAATGAAAGAGACTGTGTAAACAGTCAAATTAGCCAACTGTTCATATAAGGAATGAACAAGTCAAGATTATGTATTTCAGAAACGACTGGTAGGGCTTCCAAAGAAAGATCTATAATATTCATCATTTATGTAATGTTCATATATGTTTAAACAAATCGCTTTTAAAATTCAAGATTTTAAGAAAAATCCTCAGGAAAATGTAAGCCTCTCTACGTTAATATTCCAAGTACATTAAGAAACATGGCTGGTACATTTCAAGGTACTAAAGCCTTCAACAAAAGGAAAGTTAAGAATACACAGTATATAGTTAAATTGTTCTATTTTACTAGTAGTAATTGTTGTTAATATCTTGTGCATCATTTATAAATTAAACACTACTGCAGGATGCATTTATAGAAAAAATACAGTGTACGCATACCTCAGAAATATGACGGGATCAGTTCCAGACCACTGCAATACAGTGAATCTCCCAATAAAGTGAGTCACATAAATTATTTGATTTCTCAATGCATATAAATCTCATGTTCATACTATACCATAATCTATTAAGTGTGCAATAGCATTGTCTAAA